TGCGCTTTTTAAGCACCTATTTAAGTAGTTTGTCTATCACTAGATTCTATACTAGATGCTGTATCGCACCTCACTAGGAGAGTTACTATTTAAACCTTCTGTATCTGTCTACCAACCCTTTTATATCTAAATAATGATACTTAGTACTACCTTATTTTTACATTCTGATTTAAGGCTTTAAAGTAGTCTTAACTATTTTTAGAGAGTCCTTTGACCTCAAGGTAAACTTGCTAAAGCTTTCCATACCCTCATTTAGGCTGACTTAGGCTTCAGTAACTTATGTCTAGTCTAAGAACAAGTACTTGTATACTGAAGCTGCTACTGTTACTTGCTTCTGCTCTTATAGAGTTCATTTATACCTCAGCTTCAGTACTCATCCAATCAGAAACTCTTCTCTGTTTCACCAAACTTCTATTCCAAATAGCCTAGTTTAGTCTACAAGTTACATTATTTACTTTCCTACTGGCTTAACTCAGATATTGGTCTATACCTTTTCTTCAGATCGATTCTGGTAGCCTAATTGATATAATATTTGCCAAATACATGGTTCTCATCTATATCTACAGCTTTTTGGTTTCCTTTTTAGACTTTCCAGAACTGTCAAAAGTATTTGCTACTTCTCTACTTAGGACTTGCTAAGCAGATTTTTATTCAGAACTAATCTATTAGATTTACACTAATCACAAGGACTTATTGTAGGTTTATATCCCTTTTTATTAGTTTGTATCTCTTTATATAACTTCTCTATTATACAAATGCTCCATGATCTTTCAGTCTGTACTACTGCTCCTAATAGGGCTCATGAGATAAGTCATCTATTAGGCGATCATTATCCCTTGCATCTATTTGGTCTAACCATTATTACAGGATCTATATCCCAACACCTAAATAGTTATCATTATACAGAAGAATTCAATTTTTCATTGTTGGTAAGAATTGAACTCTAGATGTGCTACTTGGGGATGACAACTTGACTACTTCACTAAGTCACCACATCTTATAGAATATTTTTAGCTTAATACTTAGTATGATATTTATTACAAATTTTATTTAGCAGCATCTGGTAAGTATAATCTCATAGCTACTTTTAATATTAATATTATAGTTTTGTACAATGTTGGTTATATATATACAGGACTTGATAACAGATATTTTTCAAAATAATAAATATTACAGATTTTGGGCATCAGAACTTTTAGCCAAGTTTTTTATAAACATATTACTTCTAATTTGCAAGCATTAATTAGTGTTTATTTCTGTTGGTATTTTTGTATATATATTTTATAATACTACTTCTAATTAGATATAACCTTGTTTTTTATAAACTGTTTTTTATATATACTTCTATTTAGTTAGATTAATAATAGTAATAAATAAAAATTCAAATTTTTTTTTTGGTGTTAGATAGGATCTTGCCCATAACTTTATTTATTTTAATACTTTTCATTATATATATTGCAACATTTTATATTATATATATCAAGTACCAAGCTCAGACCTGAATTTTATTAGTAATCTATGCTTTGGCTGAGATTATCACCTATGCAATAAGTGTTTTCATCTTGTTATAATTACTGATTCAATTATCTGTAATTCAAACTTATTGAGCACTATGTTCTTATAGATAGTACTCACCCAGTATTTTTCTACCCTTTACAAGTTTTATTTCAGTATACTTCCTTATGATGTTATTCTTTGCATCTCTCATACTACTTATATCTAAACTCTCAAATTTGGTAGTTCCTTTCTTCTAAAATCTAGCAATATAGCCTTATAGGCTACTTCTAATCTTAGTTATATTTAGTTAATCTTCCCAAGTAGTATTACAAAAAAAAACCTATGCAGGCCCAGATTAAGCCTTATCATTAACACCTAGTTTAATTAGTATGCTGCTGATTTCTATTATCACATTAGGTAGATACTTCTGTATATTGGTATAGGCTTACCTTGTTGCATTATAGATTGCTCTATAACTATCAGATTGCAGATTTCGTATTATTTCTTTTATAATTTAAGCTATAATATTCAGATGCTCTGATATTTTAGGTTACAAGACACTAGAGATCTAGATCTAATTGCAGCTTGCAGTCTATAATATTCCCAATTTCAGTATTTAGTGATTCTTGTCAATTTCTGATATATAAGTCCAATTTATATAATTATACTACTAGTCTAGTAAATCTAACTATTTCAAACTTTTATTACATACTTTGAGTTTCAACCTTCTTGTTCTGTTTTTATAGATTTCTTCTTTAATAGGCCAAGTAGCTTGAAGCAAAAGATGCTTTTGAACTTCAAATAGACTAATTCTTTATCACAAGTTTCTTTATATTTACTACTTTTTTATTACTTCAGTTTTGTTATTATTATATCACTCTACCAATCGAGTATCCCAACTACTAGAGAAGTTAGTACTGCCTTGATCACCCCTAATTAAGGACTAATATATACAACCTTCATATAACAGAACTTTTTATAACTCAGTATCATATATAGTACCACCACTCTACAATTAAACCTTCTTTTAAGAATTTTCTTTTCTAGTTTCGTACTTGCACTTGAACTTAATTACAGGGCTCAGTATTTGATTATAACCTTCTTCTGGATTAAAAAAGCAAAAAATTCTAAGATTTTTGCCTCCAGCCCAACTTGAACCATTAATCTAGTCTGTGAAGTAAATAAAAATTCATATAATTTGTTAAATAGCTTAATTTTAAATAAATAAAAACAAAATTGCTAAATTATAAAAAATATATATAATTAAATAGGATTTTATAATTTAGTGCATGTGCATTATAATGTACCCACCTAATCAACCAATCAGATTGTAAGATCAGGTGTAATATGAAATCAAAAAAAAATGGCAATGTTTTGAAAAAATCATCAATAACTCATAATTTTGCTTATGACACCACCTTTTGTGTTCTAATAAATACCTTAAATTAATACTAACCCTTACCTTAAATTAATACATTGCTGGTTTGTTTTGATTTCATGTTATACTGGATCTTATAGGATGCATCACAACGCACCTGCACTAAATTATAAAATTTTTAAATAAATTAAATTAATAGTTATTTTACTAAACTTTTAATTCTAATTAATATTAACTTTAAACCAAGTTAATTATAAATTGGTCCAACTTTAATTGTTAAAAATAATTGTCAATAAAATAAAATTTATAGATTTTGACTTATAAAAGACTTTCATATAATTGGCTATTTAAACTATTTAACTTTATATTTGTTATACAGCTTAAAGTACTTTTTAAAAAATAAAACTACAAAAAATATATAGAAAATTTTGTTAAAGTTATAGAACTTTACTATTGAAAATAATCAAAATCTCTTTTTGTTTAAAGAATTTGACATAATAACAACCTCCTAAAAATATATAGAACTAGGCCATTAAGTATCATACTAACATCTCCAAAACAAAAAGGAATTTTATTTATTTTCAATAGTGAAGACCTACAACTCCTATAAAAAATTTCTATATATATATTTTTTTATTTATTATTTGTAGTTTTGTCCTTTTAAAAGTATTTAAAAGGTATTTTAAACAGTATAAATAATGTCGCGGCTGATTCTGAAATTTTGGCCTATTTTGATATAAAAATTTAATTTTTTTTAGAATTTATAATTAAAGTGTGTATGGGTGCTCGAAAAAAAAACCTGTAAATAAAAATTTATCTCCTGAAGAATTGTAAAATTACGCATATACGATCAGTATTCTTAATACAACTTATCAATACCTGGTATTGATATGTTTATATTACTAGAACACTGATTGTATATATAACTAATTATGTAATATCACAGTTCTTCAGGAGATAAATTTCTACTTACAGGTTTCTCTCTCGATACTCATATGTGGATTTAATCGAGACCCCAAATTTCAACAGCAGCCGCGATATAAGATTAAATAGACTTAGCCAACCATATGAAGGACTTCCTATGGGATTTCATTATTATCCTTTTTTTTTTTTTTTTAATTAGAGCTTCGATCCTTAATTCGACTATCCAAATTGATCTTTAAATCCAGATAGGTTCAGATATCAAGATCAGAGGTTTTTACTCAGATTGGTCAAAGAACTTAATTAACGCACCTAAGGATGTGCTATAAAGCTAGATTTATATGTAATTTGATGCGGATTCTATTCGGAATTAATAGAATCCGGATTGCCCGTCAAAAATAGGATCGAAGCTCATCATACGACCGATTTTCAGCATCATACGATTTTAACATCGTATGATTCCATACGATTTAAATATCATTCGATTTCAGCATCGTTCCTAAAAATTGTCAAATATATTAGATATAATTATCAACATGGAATTATTTTTAAAAAGTAAAAATAGGAGCTACTGGTGAAATGTAATGTTAGACATTATCAAAACGGAATTGGAGTTGAAAAAGATAAACGCAAGGTATCTATTTATTATCAAAATCAACAGTGATAGGAAATGCTAGTGGAATAATTTCTAACTTGATAACTATTATAAAGATGGAATTAAAAATAGAAAGAATGAACATGAGGCATTTATTTATTATCAAAAATCGACAGAGATGGGTAATACTTGTATTAAAGGAATGAATGGTGTTGAATATTGTTATTATAAAGGAATCAGAGCTAAAAGGACGAACATAAGACATTCATTAATGAAATGCATAGGTGGGGATGCTAAAGGAATACATTATACTAGATACTATTATCGGAACTATTATTATCTTACGTATGTAATTAATTTATATATTTTCATTTTATTTAAAATGTAATTAAATAATTAGAGAACAGAAACAAATCAATGATTATATCAATTGACGAATATATTATAATTTAAAATATTGACACTATATGGGAGGTGGGACTTTTGACATCATATTATGTTGTCTGGGAAATCCGGGATTTTTTACACGACTCGTTACACGTGCTTAATAATTCAAAGATGTATAATGAGAAATTTGTGAAAAAGAAGATTTTAATATTTAAAAAGGTAATGACCATATTTAGTTACTTAGAAGCATATCGAGATATTAACAATAAAAATCCACCATTAGGCGCAGTGGAATATTCTTTTGTTTACGTTAAAGATGATCTTGGTATCCGTTTAGGTCATTCAGCTATCCCTTATCTGTTAACAAGTTGCTTATCCCCTATCCGTATCGGTATCTTGTTCAATCTAACGCAAAATGATCCGGACATCCGTTTGGCTCTAAACTAGGCGACGAAGACGCCAACAAGATCATGTGGTAGTTGCCCAATGAAAAAAAAAAAGCTCCTGGAATTTTATACAGTGTCAATATATTTAATGACCAATAATTTGACGAATTATAATCTTAACGAATTTGTTTAAATTATGATCGCATATATTTAAAACAATTACCAATATAACTCGGAATAATTCTCAATGTAATATATGTAATACGTAAAATAGATGTTCATAAGTAACTACAAAACAAACATCCCAATTTCTTTGTCTTTTTTCAATCGGTGCAAAAATAAATATCAAAAAATACCACGTAAACAGAGGTGAAAAAAAAAAAGATGACAAATCTTTTATCAAGAAATTAATTTATTCGCAGTTCACAGTTCACGAGTTCTTGTGCAAAAAAACCAAATAGGAATGATCTAATCTTTAATCGGGTGCAGTTCCGAATTTGTATTAACAATGAAAAAAAAGTCCTTAATGAGTTAAGGACTTTGAGGAAGGCTAAGAGCTACTGAGACAGGTCGTGTCTGGT